AATAAAAATAAAAGTGTATACTGTATAAACCAAAAATATTAAGAACTTGTGTTCATTTTAAATATAAATTTTTTTAAACTTCCGAAAATACAAATACATTGAAAATGAATAAAAAACCGTATGAATAATATAATTTAAATAAGAAATAAAAACTGACGCCCTGATCCTTTACAGTAAATGTGTCACCAATGGCTACAGCTCTTTGCCAGCTTCTCAACTTTGATGATATTTTATAACCAGCATTAAACTGATTGAAGTCATCAGCTGTTCAAAGATAAAGCTCACGGTCCAAATGTAGATCTACGATGTTTCATTTAACCCTCGGCATGCTTTTAGTTACTGCTTCCGTCTCGTTGGTCAGATATTGTGTGAATGATATTGTTTCTTCTCGATGCTCACCGACTGCTCTGTTGTCCCTCAGCTCTTCCACATAGACTTCGGACACATCCTCGGAAACTTCAAATCTAAATTCGGCATCAAGAGGGAGCGAGTGCCGTTCATCCTCACACACGACTTCATCCACGTCATCCAGCAGGGGAAGACGGGCTACACGGAGAAGTTCGCCAGGTTCGTTCCTTCAAGTTCTTCCTGTTAGTTCTGCCTCTGCTTCAATTCAGATACTGTTTATACATTAAACTACCAAATACCAAAAGTTGGACGGTAAAAGAGTTTATTTGCAGCAACATTTTGACAGAAAAATATATTTGTTCCTGTCTGATTGTTGTTGTGGATTAAAAGAAGATGATTATGATCTGACGGTGGACTGTGGGAGGATTTACATGCTCTCAGAGTATCAGGGTTGTATCAGGTCACGGAGGACATTAGAGTCCAGGGCTGCATCTCAGGTCGGCCATTTTCATTTCCTCGCTCCTCGGTCTCGGTATCACCGGAAGTTGATTTGTCTGCGCCATCTGGAGTAGCGTCCCATGGCGCTTATTACTGCCGGAGGATCGAGGAGCGATAACCGAGGAACCACCAGACCATCCTCCGGTGAAGTCCTCAGAGACTCGCCCCGCCCCCTTACTGTGTATCGCTCACTGATTGGACGATGCAGTGCATGCACTGATCTGATGCTTCTTGACATGAGAGCAGTTTCCCAGCGGAGTGAAGAAAACACATGAAACTCACGAGACTCGCTCCTCAGTTTATACCGTGTTTTGTTTCAATTCATGTATCATTTAGTTAAAAATATTTGATATATCTGAACAACAAAGTGGTCAAAAAATCATTTTATTCATTTATTGGAAACATTTTCATGATCGATTTATTCGTTTATTCATTTTAAGAATGGCGTTTATCTTTTTTGAGAATGAGTTCTTAGTTTATTTTATTTATTTGGATCCACAACAGATGATACAAATATTTATGTCAGTAAATGTGTACTAACAGAGGCGGGGGTGTGTGTGACAATAACGGGGACCGAGTCATCAAAAAAAGGACGTCGCTTCACGTGACGCTCCGGAGGAAAGGACGTCCCATTGTTCTTAAAACTAATTTCCCTGCTTCTGGTGGTTTCCTTGCGTCCCTCCATGCTTCCCTGGTGGGAGGGACTAAACACAGGGAAACGACGCAAGTAAGCGACGCAAGGGGTCAATTTAACCGACCTGAGATGCAGCCAATGTAAGGTCATGGAGGGTATCACCCACCCCCCAGCAGATTGCATAGGTTTTGCTGTGCAGTATCGTGTCCCGCCAGCAGGTGGCAGCAAAGGCTCAGGCACTGATGAAGGTCTTCTGACGAGAAAAGTACTATATTTCTGTCTTGGCTTAGAAATACTGCACAGAGAACACGTATCCTAACTTATTCTGTATATTTGATTTGCTGTATTCAACCAGCCTGAAACCGGCCCTAATTAGGCTTTATTAAAAGGTCTTATTAAATAGTCTTTATGTTATGTGTGTCCCATAGTTTCCGTAAGTACTGTGAGGAAGCCTATCTGGTGTTGAGGAAGAACGGGAACCTCTTCATCACTTTGTTCGCCCTGATGCTGACCGCCGGGCTGCCCGAGCTCACCTCCGTCAAAGACATCCAGTACTTAAAGGTACACACACACGCGTCACACATTACTCCAACCAGCCAATCTGATCACAGGTCTGTCTTCTTCTGTTTGTATATTTTGTACATCTCTTCTGCTTTAATTATTTTTCGACAACTCTTATTGTGCAAAGAGGACACACTGTATGTGAGGGGGAAGAAACAAAAACTATAAAGTGAGCGTTCTGAGCTCCAGCTGTTTGCAGGAGGGTGATATTGGTCATCTAAGCCTGTAACGTGTCAGTGGGTTAACCGATCTGAACGAGGAATAACAGATCTCATCAAGGACGTCACTGGCCGAAAATGATACAAGCCTTGACAAAAGCTTCACAGGATTACTCAACACGTAACATCACCACTACATACAACCTGACTCTTCAGAGCAGTAGGAGATACTTGTGCTCAGCATTTACACTGATAATCAAATAAAAACTAATTATATGCATAAGTTATATGAATGTTTAATGTAGGCGTGTCGCTTTACGGCATGAAGTGATGATGTTTACGTTTCTTTGGGGGTGGGTGTAAATAGCCGAATAGCTGCCGTGTGTCTATTTTCACCCGGGTGCAAATAGACACTCGTAAAATTATTTATTTAATACAACTTAAAGTGAAGGCAAGAAACGATGTGGAAATAATTTGATAGAAGTATAGTATCAACATGAGAGTGGTTATCTGGACATTTTACTTTTTTTAAAGATTTGTTTGGGTACCGAAGCCTCGATTGTAGAGACAGAGTTGAAACAGGGAGACGAAGGCGATGACAAGCGGCAAAATGGTCCAGGGCCAGATTTGAACCGAAGAGAGGATCTGTAGGGCTTGATTTAGGAACTAAATGGTCACTTGTCCCAGTACGAGTCCCAGCGTGGACCAACAACCCCCCCCCCCCCCCGGTCAACAACTTCAAAATTCTGGGCTATGTATAAAAATCCCTGTCCCGCGAAAGTGTCTATTGGATTGTTGGTGATCCCTGGTGTATACCCTATCAGAGTGAACATGTAATTGTGAGATTAATAAATCCTTTTCTTCCCCTCTCCCCCCTCAGGACTCTCTGGCTCTGGGGAAAACAGACGACGATGCGCTGAAGCAGTTCCGGCAGAAGTTCGACGAGGCTCTGAGAGAGAGCTGGACCACCAAAGTGAACTGGATGGCCCACAACGTGGCCAAAGACAACCGCTCCTAGAGAGAGGAGTCCCTCACAGGTCAGGGGTCGGAGGTCAGGGGGAAAGGAGTGTACGGGAGGGGAAAGGTGCGCCAAGGAGACGAGGTGAAAGCCATCCTGATTGGAAGAAGGGAATTCAGCAGAGTATCTGAAACATGAGCAACCCCCTCCTCAATATACTGTACAGCTTCCCTTTCTGTCCGTATCACTCTGGCTCGGTGCCTCCTGAAAAGAAAAATCCAAAGTCATGGTCTGGAGACATTTCTGTGGAGTCATGGTGGGTGTAGTCGTTGCGAGTTTTGCACAGCAGCAGCGGATGGAGCTCACAGCCAAAGGAAGGGAAGTGAAGCGCCCACACTAAAGAATAAACTGTCCCTACGGAGCGCGTTCACGACGGAGAGCAGGAGGTTTCCTCTCAGACGGACTTTAATCTCCGCTTGTACGGACTCTGCAGGGTCGCTCGGTTTGACCGCGCCCCAGAACTGCTTTACGTACGGCGGAGATGGGTGACGGAATCGGAAAAGACACAAACGTCTGACCCACATGTCTAAAAAACAATGTGCACAAACGGCCACAGGAAGTGCATCTTAACACTCACTCCCGCTGCCTCAAAGTGTGCCTCAAAACTGCGGGAAGATTGTATTTTTTATGAGTTTTTTTTTTTTTTTTTTGCCATTTTAAGAATTTATCAAGAGACGTCTATGTGCCAGACTACTTTAGCAGTCCACAGAGAGAAACTTGTTTTAGGGAAATAAGGATTAGAGAGAGAATTTGAGAATAAAGTGGGTCCACTGTTTGAAACTCAGATATATTTTGGACCATTGAAACACTGGAATATTTTCAGAACGACTGAAAGCAGAATCCTCTTTTAGTGAACTAAACACTTTATTTTTTAAGGCGCTTTTATTTTCAAACGACAATTATTTCACACTTTGCAAATCAAGAACATCACTAGCCAACTTGTCCTAAAGTCTAAAAGG